AGCCGGGCTGGGGTCCAGGCCCGAGGACGAAGGGAGGGAACAGGGGGAGGGGACGGGGGGAGGGAGGCGAGTCCAGTCCAGGTCCCAGTGAGGCTGTGAGTCTTACCCAGAGAGGAGACAAGTGCAAAGTTCTCCAGCATCACCCGTAGGTACAGGCGTCTCTGAGCCTCGTCCACCAGCCTCCACTCCTCCCCGGAGAAACGCACGGCCACGTCCTCCAGGGTCACGCCGGCCTGGAATGACGGGGACAGAGGGAACCGTGACCATCCTGTGCCTGAGGACCCACACACACCCCCCCATCTGCCCCTCCGCCTGCTCCTCCCAGCTCCCACATCAGGGGAACCCCACAGGTGGGCACAGGGGCCAGGGGCGCCCACCCGACCCTCAGGGTCCCGTTAGGCAGGAGGCTCTGCCCACAGCAGCGCCAGGCGGGAGGGCACAGAGATGGACCCCAGGCCTGTTCCTGGCGGGCAGGGCGCCCATCACGCCATGCCTTCCCCTCGGGGTCTCCAGATGGCGCCAAGCCTCCGCTCAGGGTTCACCTGTCAGTCCCCAATGCTCCCCCCAGAACCCTAACTCCCACTTCCCCCCAATGCGCACAGCCCTCGGCGGACTGTACCCCTCAACCTCCATCCCCAGGGGCACCCCACGGCCTCGCACTCGGGGAGACGCCGCTGGGGGCTCCCCTGCAGCTCAGGGGCCGCGACACCCCCAAATTCTGTGCGATCCCCCAGCAGCCACCGCGTCCTCCCTGCACTCTCCCTCCCCGCACACCCCAGGCCCGAGGGCACCATGCCAGGCACAGGGACATCAAAAAGGACTGCATCAACGCCAGGTCAGGGTGCTCAGTGGTTGAGCTTCAGCCTGTCAATCAGGGGGTCCCCGGTTCGATTCCCAGTCAGGGGGCACCTGCCCGGGTTGCGGCTCCATCCCCAGTCAGGGGGCGCGCAGGAGGCAGCCGATCCATGATTCTCTCTCATCATGGATGTTTCCATCTCTCTCTCCCTCTCCTTTCCTCTCTAAAATCAATTAAAAAATAAAAAAAAGATTTTTTAAAGTGACCGCATGCAACACGGAAACTCCCGCGCCCCCTCGAAGCGCACCCCCACATTCTGGGGGCTCCATGCGGGAGCTCGGCCCGCGATGTCATCTCACCTCCAGGCCTCCGCCTGCAGGACCCCCTGGTCCCCGCGCCTGCGGACGGTCCTCCCTCCCACGGGGTCCCCCGCCCACCTCCCGCCCGGCGCCCTGACCCCGATGCCTAGCAAGAAAAAAAAGGGGGGGGGGGAGTCCATCATGAACCCCGATCTTTCCGAGCAGCTAGTTGCACCGCCACGATGACCAGCCTCCCGCCTAAATGTCACCCCTCGGGGCCTGGGCTGCAGGAGGGACGGGCGCCCGCCCCCCGGGTGCAGGGTTGGGGGTGGGGGGAGCGGGGTGCCCCCGGGGACACGCTCACCTCAGCCGGGCGCCTTGCAGCCGCCGCCGCCATCAGACTCTGCGGGGAGCCGGCGTAGGCTTCACGGTCCCTTCCCCGGCCCGCGGCCTCGGACCCGTGCACTGAGGACCACGCCTCTTCGGCGCCCCGCCGCTTTGTTACCTGAAAAGGGGCTCTGGCGCCAGAATCCACTCGGGCCAACCTGCAAAGATGGACGGCTGCCGAGAGGCCGGAAGTCCCGCCTCCAGGCCGGGAGCTCTCCAGGCAACGCTTTCATCTTGACCTGTCAGTGCCTCCACTCAGCGCAAGGCCTTCTGGGAAATGTAGTTCCCAGAGCTAAGGGGTCACAGAAGGGAGTTCAGACTCCTGAGCCACTGGAACAGGGGTCCTCAAACTACGGCCGCGGGCCACATGCAAATACAAATATTGTATTTGTTCCCGTTTTGTTTTTTTTTAACTTCAAAATAAGATATGTGCAGTGTGCATAGGAATTTGTTCATAGCTTTTTTTAAAAAAAACATTTTGGCCCTCCAACGGTCTGAGGGACAGTGAACTGGCCCCATCTTTAAAAAAGTTTGAGGACCCCTGATTTACACAATGGAATACTATGCAACTATAAAAAAGACGGACCTCTTAACCTTTTGACAGCATGGATGGGCCAAGAGAATATTATGCTAAGTGAAATAAGGCAGTTCAGAGAAAGACAAATATCAATGATCTCACTTCTATGCAGAATCTAACAAAGTAAACTTACCAACAAAATAGGCCAAAGGTCTGGGACAGTGAAATGGCCCCCCGTTTAAAAAGTTAGAGGACCTCTGCTGGAATGTTCGCCCCTGGAGGGGTCCCATGGTTCAGCTGCGACCCGCATGAAGGGCCCGCTCCGCGTAAATTGCAGCGAGAACTCGAATCTGACCATATCGACCTTAGGATGGGTTATAAGGACTCACTGCTCCCCCAACTTAGGGTACCTATTGCAAAGTCAGTGGCCATCTGAGCTTCAGAACAACAGGCTATTTTTAAAAAAATATATATTTTTTATTGATTTTTTACAGAGAGGAAGGGAGAGGGATAGACAGTTAGAAACATTGATGAGAAACATCGATCAGCTGCCTCCTGCACACCCCCACTGGGGATGTGCCCACAACCAAGGTACATGCCCTTGACCGGAATCGAACCTGGGACCCTGAGTCCGCAGGCTGATGCTCTATCCACTGAGCCAAACCAGATAGGGCATGTCTTTTGTTTCTTAAAGGTAA